CACACACACACACACCTGCTTACATACGGATGTGGCCAGAGATAAGAGGCAGTGCAGAAAAGACACCAAATGATAATAATAATGACAATAATAATAACAACAGTCATAGTCCCCACTGCCCATGGACCCCAAGTCCCCAGAGCCAGGTCCGTGACAGTTTTAGTTTTTTCTTACAAGATGACTGAGTGTTTCTTCAAAATCCTCTTGTGTGTGTCTGTATAGTTTGCAGATGTAGCCTGCGGTGATGTCACAGCAATGCTAAACGGATTGGTCAACGATCCATTCAATTCTACAAGGTAGGACTGCTTCTGCTTCTCTCACAGTTTTATGACTTTTACTGAGTAAAGTAATGTTTTTCTTTCAGTGGTAATTACAGCCACCAAACAATTTAACAGTGATATATGTGCTGAGAGTTAAGTTATCATTGCAGATTAAAAGAAGTGCTATTAAAAAACAGTTATTATTGTCTTTGTTGTACAAGGTCAAAGGTTGTTGTAAAAAAAAAAGTTCTTCCTCTACAAACCAAATCAGGTTTAAATGTTTGTCTCCACTCTGGGTCATTTTGATGTAGGCTGCTTCATTTTCATTTATGTCTCAGTCACACTAGAGTAAAACTAGGACTGCAGCGTCCTTGCAACTCGGAAAGAAATCAGCACACTTGAAGTTGCAGTTGAAGAGTTGACTGCATTGAATTTTCTTAGCAATCAGCAACCAAATTCAAATAGTTCAGTTCAATTCAATTCGGTTCAATTCAAATTAATTCAATTTTTTTTATATAGTGCCAAATCACAACAATAGTTGCCTAAAGGTGCTTTATATTGTAAGGTAGAGCCTACAATAAATAAGTACCAGCTAACTTATTAATACAGACAGATTCAACACACTGCAGTCAGTCTGTCTCTTTGCTGTAGAGGACTCGACTCGACTCGCTGCCCAAGGGTTTTGTTCTGGATTGGTATAAAAAGGCAAAGTTGATGGGCACTTTTATCACTTTGCAAATCTATTTAATTCTGGCTGAACTCTGAATATAAGTAGTTAATAAAGATTTTTGTCTAACCTAAAATGCTGTGTGCGCTGACAGCAACACAAGGTAAGAGATTTGTGGTTTTTATTAATTTATCACAAACAGATTGCTTGTAATTGTCAAATTGGCCTCATTTAATCACAAACTGATAGCAGACTGATTCTGTCTAACTGCTTTTTTATTGCTGTCTTGATACATCAGAGCTGCTTTAAAGATGGCAGCTAGCAGGAAGCGGTCACAGACCTGTTCCTCATCTCAAGAGCGGCATTTTTAAAAGCAGTCTCATGGCTCAAGTTCATTGTCGTCACAATACCTCCGGTAATGCCACGGTCTACAACCCTTGCTTTCCCTAGTGTGACTGCAACATAAGGCATTCTGCTTTGAGAAGTGACTACTGATCCTTTTAGTACTGTAGAAAGTCTTTAAGAGTGTGTCGTAGGCTCAAGTGCCACATACATTAAAAAAAAAATCAGTGTTGTGATGATAGTAGTATCTAGTTGAATTTTGTACTCTAAGCTGCTGTTCTTTTTTTTCTCTTCAGTATTTTTGCAAGCGTTGAGGTGCCGAGGTTTAAATCCCCTAGGATCAAGAAGCTGGATGTTGTTATGGTCATACAGAAAAACGCCATGTAAGGTTTTCTCTTTATACACAAATCTGTCACCACAATGTGCCTCCAATATTTTAAAATTGATTCTATATTCACTGCTTCTGTTTCTAACTTCTTCAGATCAAACTGTAATCATTCATCCTTGAAGAATTTGATGCAAGCGCTAGATAAAGGGATAACATACAGCTGCAAAGACGTGTCTAAGTAAGTACGTGTGCGTTACAGAGGAGCTGACGACTCGTTTGTATCTGTCCTCACAAAACACAACTGACCTCTTGTTATTATCTTGTAATGTATTCAAACAGATCTCGGATTCAGGAATGTGGTGCCAAACCAGAGATAGCGTGTGGAGCCTGCTGGTGAAGATGTTTGATGTCAGTCACAACATACTAGCATTCAGCCACAGAAACATTTCTAGTGCTTCCTTTTAACTTTTTAAATAAAATTTGAGAATTTTTGTACAGGTAAAATGTATTTTTCAAAACATGTATGTTTCTAATACATTCCACTATGACAATGTACATTTTAATTTTATGGGATCTGAAGTTAAACTTCTTTGTTTTTTTAACTAAACAAATTGAGTACCATAGATGCCATCTCCTCGTTGGCAGAATATGCACTATTTTTTTCAATAAAATGCTGATTAAATGTTATTTGTTTCAATTAATGTTTTCGAGTCATTTTAAACATGTACATTTCTAAAAACATACCTAGATATAAAAACACACAGTGGAAGACCATCAGTCATGGATTGGTCTCCCCAGAGCCCAAACCTCAACAGCAGTGTGGGAATCATCTTGACAGAGAACAGAACAAAACGCAGCCAACATCTAAAGATGAGCTTTGAATGTCCTTGAAGAAGCCTTGAAAACTCTTCCTTGAGACTATTTAAAAAAATAACAAGAAAGCTTTCCAAAGAGAGTTCAGGCTGTGTTGAAGAATAAAGGTGGTCATACCAGGTATTGACTTTAAAGGTCATTAAAACTGTACAAACTCTTGTCTTATACACTATATTCATATAAGGGTCGATATATTATTAGTGCTAATGGGTAAAAGTGAAAGCAGTTGACCTTTTATTTCAAGTTGTAAAGATCTAAACTAAATCCATCGACGGCTTCATAATAACAGTGTTGATGGAGTGGACGAGCACACTGACAGGTTTGACAAACAATGACTAAATAATGATGCAGTCAATGTCAACATAGAGCAGAAGTGTTTGCAGCATTTAATTTGGATACAGCATCTTATTTGTATACTGGACCATAGTAGTGCTATACTGGGTAAAAATACAATAAAACTGCACTGAGGACGAATTCCTTATCTTTAAAGTATTTACCTCACAAGTAGAAACATGAGGTTTTTGCCAGTGAGCCTTTAGCTTGGTGATTCTTCTTTAGAATCCTCCTGAAACAAGACGAGGCTTCCAACATGAAAGTGAAATTCATTAAGTAAATCCAAACAAATTCAAATAAATAATTAGAAAATAATCAAAAAAATAGTTTATTGACCTGTACAGACAATGACCAGTTTATAACTTTTTTTTTTTGACATTTGGCAATGTATAAATCAGAATTGTTGTCTGAAGGCCAACAATAATTGGCCCCACCAGGAAGGCACCAGGAGTGGCCCAGTACACACCTGAGCAGTCAGCCATGGACACTGAGAACCATCAATACACTGGTGGGGACACCAGCCACTGGCAGGGTGTGTGGTGGGAGGAAATAGGCCCACCTCAAAGAGCCTGAGATGTTCTAAGAGAGGTGGAGTCTAAGGCCTGACCTGAAACATGAACATAGACACACGGGCATACACAAGACACAAGCATCATCCCCACCCTCATCTACACATATACAAATACTTACCCAGGCACCCAGCATCTAGACACACCAAAATGAATGCTGTACACACACTCACACTCCCATACACCCTCTATTCACTCAGGTCCAGGCACCAATACCCCAACATTGGCAGTCTTCCCCAGAACAAGGATATGGTCCCCACAGCAGCAGACTAGCCCACCACCCCAGACACAAATTGGACGGCCAGCTCCTCCTCCATCCAGCCCCAGACAATGAAGAGAGAACAGGAGTGTGAAAAGACCCCGTGCCTCACTTCGCCTGCTCGTATGTGGCTGAATGAAGAGACCTAACTCTGGATGCCATTCAGTATGACCACCCCCAAAGCCCTATATGTATGTGTCATTAGAGTGTAG